ATATATATATTTATTTTTTTTTTATATTTATTTAAAAAAAAATTTTTTTTTGTGACTAAGTCCCCAGGGGGAAAATCAGTTCTTTTTTTTCCCCCTCACAAACGGACGCTGCTCTAGACAGGAACATGGCCAAAATTTCCTTGGAGGAGTCGAGAGAAGACTTGAGCAAAATATCTGAGGAGGAATTGATGAGATGGAGCAAGGAAGAGCTGGTGAAAAGGCTGCGGAAAGTAGAGAATGAGAAAATGAACCTGATGGTGGAGCATGGCAACTTAATGAAGGATGTGAACCGGAGGCTGCAGGTTCACCTGCACGAGATCAGGGGGCTGAAAGAGGTCAACCAGAAACTGCAGGATGACAACCACGAACTGAGAGAGCTCTGCTGCTTCTTGGATGATGATCGGCAGAAGGGCAAGAAGCTGTCCAGGGAATGGCAGAGGTTTGGGCGGCACACGGCCAGCGTGATGTGGAAGGAAGTTGGGGTGTATCAGCAGAAGCTGAAGGAGCTGGAGGCAAAGCAGGAGTCCCTCATGAGGGAGAATGTGGAGCTGAAGGAGATAGTCCTCATGTTAGATGAAGAGAGAAATGGAGCTGGCTCCAGGAGCTCCATAGACAGCCAGGCCAGTTTGACCAATTTGAACGGGGGCTCTGGCACCAGGGATGTGGGGGATGGCAGTAGCACCTCGAGCACTGGCAGTGCAGGGAGCCCAGATCACCACCACCATCACCTCAACCATCACAAACCCGTTGACAATAAGGCTGGAGCCATAAGGAGATCTATGGACGATTTGTCTGCACCTCTTCACCACAGGAGTATCCCCAATGGCCTCAATGGTAAGTCTGTTCCTCTTTCCTACTATATCTCTGTTATAGAGAAGGAAGCAAGCGCTAGCGTTTATGGGACTGAGAGTCAGGTGCAGGTTGACTCTCAGGTTCTTTCCTTACCTCTGCCACTAATTTCCTTGGCAAGCTACTTTCACCTTTCTGTGACTCCATAAAACAGGGATAAATGATATCTGCCTTAAGGGAGTGTTGTAAGGTGTAGTTTATGAACGTTTGGACAGTGCTTTGAGACAGGCAGTGCCACAGGAATGCATGTCATCATTTATGATAAGCAGCAGCAGTGTTAGAATAAGAAATAATTGCCCTTCTGGGAAATAGGAAGCTGCACCCCCCTGTGCTTATCTGTGGTTTTATGAAACCTGTTAATCTGATGACTAGTGCAAAGCAGAGTTCTTCTGATGTAGTTATACTGGTGTTTAAATGTTCATTGGATGCATTATTTATGACTGGGGCTGTGGGACGCTTGTTTTTATTTTAAACCCTGACAGACAAATTAACTCTCTCTCTTTTTTCTGGACTAAAACATTGATTCCTAACCCATCTACCCCCATCCTTTAGTGCTTGTTTTATCTTTAGTTGTTTGCTTGCTGGTCAGTTGAGCTTGATAAAAAGCAGAGTTTGGGCTGTTGGAAACAGTGGTCTAAATCGTCATCGGCCGGTAATGGATAAAACCATCACCTGTTAGCTCCATGGGGGCTTTCACTGGCAGACTGTCTGTCTGTCTCAAACTGAACAATACTTGGGATTGGCATTTCCCACTTCTGAAGCAGAGCTGCTTGTGAGGACGGGATTGTTCTTTATAAAACATAAACATGGTCACGATGGAACAATCCTGCTGTAGAGTTGTCAGGCCTCTTTCTGCTGTTCTCATTCAGGCAAAGTTTCTGTTCAGCTGGGGATTTATGATCAAAGTTCACAGTCCATCCTGAATTGACTTCAAAACTGTAATATGTTGGGGGTGGGTGGGGGAGCAGGAAGCAGGGAAGTATTCTGGAAACCAAAAGGATTTCACATTTAGACCTGAAGAACTTCCAAAGGGAGCAATTTTCATGAGATGAAATGATCAGAAATTGTACTCCTGCTTCATTTTCTGTATATCGCTCAGCCATTTTTAGTTTCCTCAAACCTCTTTACATCCAGGATATTCGGTCAGATTTGGATGTTCTCTAGTAAGTGGGGTGCAGGCTACAGCAGCTCCCTTCACCATGCCTGGAAACTTCAGCCTCAGTACTGCCTGCTTGTGCCAGTCAGGCTTGAGTGACATGTCGCAGAAGAAACGGTGGTTCTGACATGATCACCTTCACCATGTTTCAAATGCAAGAATATTTTGTTCAAAGAGAGCAAGGGATCATCCCCATCCTGTAGCAAGAACCGTAACATGGGGCACAGGTGGCTTGGCAGAGTTGCCAAGTCACTGAGCCCTCAGCTGGAAGGAGTCTTGGCACCTCTGGGGGGAGCAGAGGACATGACCCCTTAACCTCAGGCGCTGGTTATGCACTTGGAAGCCTCAGGAGGGACGAGTGGGCTCTGCAGCCACTCAGCACTTACCAGCTTGATCCCTGAGCGCTGCTTACCTTAACTGCCTCACCCCCGTCTGTCTTCCCTTGCAAAATCTGTTTCCCTTAGGACAGCTGAACAGAGCATGCTTAACCCAGGCTTGGATATAGTGATTTAGAGTCTGGTGCTGCCATCAGGAATTGCAGGACACAGGCAGTTTCTTGAAATATTTTTCTTCCCTCCCTATCCTTCAGTCATGAGCCTGAATCAGTTTGTAAATGTGTGCTACTGCCTAGGCTTTTGAAGCAGGTGTTTGGATCTTATTTAATGAAGCTTTGCTGCTTACATTTGAGATGCTTTGTCTGATGTGCATTTGGCAATGTTTAATACTAAATTTCTGTTTTGTGGAGAGAGAGAACCTCAGAAAGCTCTTTTTGATACCCCAAGCCAAATTCCCATAGGTGTCACTCGACTGACTTCAATAGAATGACCTCAGGGCTGAGTTTGACTCATTCACATTAACCAGGTATTTTTTTGTAAATTGGATTGCTTGCTAATGCCCTGCATAAGCATGCATTTTTGTTAGAATGCCCTGATGTTACTGCTTAGATCCCAAGGGTGCTGCAGAAAAACAGGCCGTTGCCTCCCTTTGCTTTTGCAGAGAGGAGAGCCTGAACTTGCCAGGCCCAGTGGGGTATGGGTGTGGGAATGAGCAATGTTACCTTTCCATGCCAACTTTCCCCTATGCATCTGTTCCTTCCAACTTGCCATTAAGTGTCACATGTTGCAGGACGGGAGTACCCTGCCCAACCCTTCTCTTGCCAGGAAGACTGATACAAGTGACTGCAACTTGTGAAGTAACTTGCCTGGGTTCTCTCTCTGCCCGTGGATGAGGAAATCTGTCCAGCTCTGCAAAATGATACTGCCAAAGAGGTATGAAATGCTGAATGCATTGCAGAAGCAAGGGGCCATAACATGGATACCTTTGACCTGCAGCAGTTCTCTCAGGATATGCTTGGCAATAGGAAGGATGAGGAAACAATGGGTTTAGAGGACAGAAGCATTGCTCTCTCCCACAGGGCGTGTGTGAGAGGAACTTTGCCCTGATAGGATTATTTCAAGGAAACTCAGTCTGTTGAAATTAAGCTTCCATTTCTGTATGTGAAAGTAACCACCTAGGAGACAATGGAGCTCTAGGTCTGAGAGAGAGAATACATAGCTGCATTAGTCCCTTGGGTTTTTTTGTGGCTTGAGACGTGCAAGGTGGTCCCCTAGGGCAAATCCTGACAAACTTCTCACTGGCATCTTGCTTAGTTTAATAGCTGCTGATGGGGCAGATATAATCAATACTCTTTAAACTAATAATCCTTGGAGAGATGCAAATAAGCCTGATCTGGCCAGTTTGGTAGCAAGGCTGTAAAATGATTTAAGTAGTTTTCGTCCTTGGATAGCATCAGTATTCAGTGAAGGCCATTTGACTGAATGTGCTTTTGGAAAAGCTGGTGAATGCATATGCAAATGAAGCCTCTTATCTGACCACTTTCAACTGACAGCAAGAAGTCTGGCACTGAGGCATGCTTGGGACTGTGTTGGAATTCTATTAAGACTGCGATACAATGTGGGAGAGTGAGACAGGTGAACAGAAAGAATCCAGTAAGTCAAGTTTGTAGCTGAGCTGACACTGAGAAACCTCTGCACTAAGGGGATTCTTTCTGTTTGCACTGGATAAAATGGAAGGTGCGTGATAGAGAGCAGAAGTTCACTTACGTACTAGAAATCCTGTTTACTTTCTTGTTGCCTCACTGCAGAGCAGCACTGGTGTTAGGGTTTAATTTCTTGGTACGGCTGGTGGACTAGAAAGCACTCTGCCTGCACATCCCAAACAGTAAATGTCCCACAAATGGTTATTTGAAAGGTAGGTGTGACAGAGTCCAAAGATAGGACTTGGAGTAAGAGTGTAGTACAGAGGTTCTCAACCTTTGTGGATTTGAGGGACCCTTCACTGGACTAGAGGCACCCCTTCATAACTTTTGTGAATTGGGTGGCACCCAGTTTCAGAAACAAATGTATGTATTACAAGTGCTTACCTTCTTGTAAAGGCATTGGGCAGTGGGGGTGGAGGTTGATCGTGTGAGGACAAGCCTGAGACTGCATTTATTTATTTAGCTTATCTGCTTATCACTTCACAGCACCCTTCAAAGGGTTTGGCAGCACCCCAGGGTGCCCGGACACTTTGGTTGAGAATCACTAGTGATTTTTACAGGCTTCCCAGAGGCATTGGGTATTGGCTACAGCTGAGGCTGTGGACTTTGACTGGGGTGTGCCAGTGCTTCTGCTGGGAGCAAAGCTGAAGGTTCTAGGCTAAAGGGTCTTGCCCATCTGCTCAGGGTCACACCAAAAGCCATATTTGGGGTCAGGAAAGAATTTTCACTCAGATTTGGGGGGGGTTTGCTTTCCTCTGTAGCAGGGGGTATGACCATCTACTGGGGACCTCTTGAGCATATACTGACAACATTTCATAGGAGCAGGACATTGACTCTTGTGGCTCCCCTGCTTTACCTGTGGCAGGTTAGGGTGTGAGGTCTATGTTGGGTCAGGGTTGACGGTACTCTTATAGAATTTAGATTAGGGTTGTATGGGATGGTCGGGATAGGAATGATCCATTCCTG